GCTACTAACCTTTACCTGGCTTACAAGAAACATAAAGAAAATTAATCAAAACCCCCTCTTGTGAAAAACATGGACAGCTATGGTGTGGTTACTGATATAAACACGGCAATGGCACCATCATGCTGTGGGGATGCCATCAATTATTTTTATGAATGCAATGTATTTTAAAGCAAGCACTAGCTTATTGCAAGAATGCTACATGGACAAATAAAAAGTTGAATTAAACAGCTAATAAGAATTTATTACATTTGTGTTATTCTGTAGCAGAATAACCAAACGGAATAATTTTATGCACAAGATTCCCTTAAAAAGTTTACATGGTCATTACTCTTTATTTTACATGTGGAACATATTATTACAACTGAAAAAACTATAGTATTATCTTTTTAATGTTGTTATTACAATTTTCTTTCTTTGCCTTCCTCGGGCTTTAGCATCTCAATCAGTACCATCATGAGACGTGAACATAAAAAACAAAGTTCAGTCAATTAAGCTGGGTTTGGATGTACGGCCCTGCATTATTTTAGTCCACACTGTTTTCCCTTAAAGCAATCTTATTCATTGCCATACTGCATATGTTGATACTGTGACACAGGGCAATCACAATACAGAAATAGGAGGGATTTTTTTTTCCTTTTGTGTTTTTCATTTCTGTTTTAATATTACTGCGTAAATACTATATTTTTTGTTTGCTTGTGTTTTGTTTTGTTTTTACTCCAGGAGCTCAGCAGGAATCCATCATGTTTTAAGCAATTGTTTCAGCAACAGTCAAGAAGTCAGTATGGAGGAAGAAATCTTTGAGATGAGCCAAGCCTGTTGCATCAGTTGTTTTTACATGTAGACTCCTCAGTTGAAAAGTAAGCAAACTGAATGTTCAGGTCAATTTCAGTTTAGTCTACACACTAGAAGGTAAAAAAGGAGCTTGTGTAGCGACACCTTGTGGTCTGTTTGAATGTAATAGAGAACTTTTACTGTTTCAACCTATTGTTTAAGTTTGAAGGAGTATTTAGATACATTAGACCAAAACAATCTTGCATTGTCAGCTATTTTGTTTACTTATACGCACTGCGTAAAATTCACATGGCATTCATTGCATTCATAGTCTGAATTTCTGATTTATTCTTTACATTAACAATGAAGGATTGACTTTATATATATATAAACTTGATATACTATAATATAGTATGTTTGTCACTAAAAAAAAAATATTTAAACTTTTATTTTAGACTTGGAAAAAACCTCTTGCGTTGCTTGGTAACAAATATGTGAAGCTTGATTATAATTGAAAGCAGAAAATATCACCTTAAATGAAGATATTTTGGTAACTTTTTTACCTAACAACATGATTTCCAGCTTCTTACGGTCCACCCGGAACCTCTCCTCTGTCCACTCCGGGTCTGGCAGTGGATGGGGGCCGCTAAGGTCCTCCTCTGATCCGGGGAGTGGGGAGTCGGTGCTGCGCTCGCTGTTGGAGCCCTGGTCTGACTGCTGCTGCTGCTGCTGCTGCAAGTATCCGCTCAGAGGGTCGCACTGGGCAGCCATGGCGCAGCGCGCAACTTTCTCCAGGGGCCACAGCAATTTGACTTTTAAAGTAGAGTTAAATAAATAGAAAAAACAGCCGTCTGTTAGGTTGTTGAATTCCCTTACTCCGAGGCTTTGTGTGTGCTCATTCTGAGGCAGTCAGGATTTTTTTTTTTTTTTTTTGTAATATAATTTTTCCTCCCTGGTTACTTTAAGTCCCTTCGTTTTTCCTCCATTGGACAGATTTCTAAAAATAGGCAACAGCAGCGCAGTGAGCCTCTCTCTGAAGTTGGTCAGTCTGCAGAGTTAACGGAGCCACTACCAGCACACATACCAAACAGCTCCTCGGCAAAGTTTCACGTGTCAGACTCCTCCCAGAAACTTTTAGAAAACCGACTTCCCCTCCCTCCAAGTCCAGAAGATCTCCAGACTGTTACTGGTTCCGAGAAAGACGCTGAATTTCATTTGTCTGTTCCTGGCTGAGCAACTTCATACACAATGTGGAATAAGCAATTAAAGCCACTTTGCATCAAAAAACTTTACTGCATTTGGAAGTTTGCATTAATAAAAAGGAAACATTAAACTTTTTTTTTTTATTGATGCAGGGAACTAATGCAGAAAGAGGACTATGGGCACATTTGGAGCAAGATACAGAGATCCCTGTGATCATCTATACTGACATAACATTATGCAGATGCTCCTGATTTTACCAGCTGCATATCACATTCATAAGGTGCAGTAGGAGCTGCTGAATGTATAGACAAATGGAGCACATGGCTGCAGGTCATGGTCAAGAATCCATTTAGATAACCTCAGCTTTGTGTCATAATGTATTTATTAAGAAGTGGATAGTCATCAGGAAATGGATATTGGATGAATCTGTTCTCAAGTTGGGTGTGTTGTTAAAACGGATGTTCAGTTGACCCTTAGGAGCCAGAAGTATCCCAAGAAAAATGTTCTCTTTTGCATTACAAGACCGCCAGGCTTGATACAAGCTGGGTGACTGCTGCTGAAATTGAGAACAGGTGGGATTATTCTAATTTTGATGAGCTTGTGTAAACTGTGACTTCAGCTGGGGCGTCGTATGGTGGTGGGGGGCGTTGGGTTGAAAGATTCCAAGGTC